AATTGGTTTATATAGTCATCAGAAAACGCACGACGTTAAGAATAGAATAGGAGATAATCATACTCGGTATCCAGTGATCGCCTATGATGATGACGCTGTTTTTTATGGCTGTTTCAGCAGATGAAAGTAAGTCACAAAAACCCCTCATCACAAGTCTCATCGGTAACATCTTAATCTACCAAATGAGGTTAAATTTAAATCAGAGAAATCTTTCTAATTATTTCGAAGCCAGCTGATCAAAGCTGACCATATTTCCAAAGTTGAAGTTATTTCAATAGACAACAAATTCATTCCTTCAACAAAGATCCCATATAACAAAAACATATAGACTTCCAATTCCAGTGATTACTTCTACTTTAATTGTAATTACTTCAGTTTTTTGTAAGAAACAAAAACATGTTCTACAAAAAAAAAACGCATTATTTTTCCACTCTAGTTTTTCTGCTTACAATTCCATTATGATGAAAAATAAGCTTCTAAATCCCGGTGTAACACAGGTTGCACTCGAGAAAAAAAAGCAATTACCATGAGCGAAGGCAGTGAAAAATGCTGAAAATATTTCAAGTGAATTGAAAAAGGCGCTGACGATGCGCTGACAAGCACCTTTAAATATTCAGCGTACGAAAAGTGACGGAGGAGGGCTGGTGGAAAGCGAATGGTCTGGAAATTGGAAAATGTCTAGCTGCTAAAAGTTTTAATAAGAAAGGGGTGACTTGGCGAGATTTAAGTTTCCTATAGACATATAAAAATCTGCGTGCCAAAACCTCACAAAGAAGCCAAGAAGAGAGATATATTTTTAAAAAATGAACCAGGTTAAATCGGTAAGATCGTAAACTATGCCCGCAGACCTCCAAGTCTCATAAAGTTGCAGAAGAAAACCCGATCGTGAATATCGCGAGAGCACGCTATAATACCTACCGTTCCGGGAGAATATTATGTGGGATTCGAAATAAAGATGAAGCGTTTTGATGATCGTTTTATGGATTTTTGCAGAGGCGTACAGGAACAGCCTCAATTTAAACGTGCAATAACAAATCCGTATACCAATTTATTCTTAAAGATAAGTAGGCATATTTCAAAAATTCACCGTCGATTCAGAATTTTTTTATTCCGAAAATTAAGATGTATCTTAATGGCTCTACAATTCCGAACCCGTTTTAAATCATTTGGTACTTAAACCCAATAATTTTTTTCTCTTAAGATTATATCTCTAGAAACCATTTTGGAAGGAGCGTTATTAAGGCGACCATTCATTATAACCGTCGATGATGCTGAACCAGATTGAAAGGTGCTGTCAGAATATTTACTTACAATCAACGGCTATGGGACTTGAAAACCTAAACTGCTTTACAGTGTTGCAAGATCAGAAACTGTAGTTTTAGATTTATCTTGCAATATCACTGCAAGTTGTTTATGTTTCTTTGTATCAATATTGGGTATACGAAATCTCGACATCAAATTATTTATTTTGATTGGTAGCTCTTGTTTCCAACTCAATCTAAAGTAGTTTATTGGGTCATCAATTCCAGACTCCAAAGCTGCCAGAAACAAAAAAAAACATATACCTCAAAAGTTTATCTTATCTTAACAAGTTAGCTTTTATTTGAAAGAATATTTCCTGTGTTTTCTTATATACCTATCACCGGTGCTAAAATCAATTGATTCCCATGAAAACATTCTTTTTAAGTCGAGAATTGCTTTTCTCTATTTCAAGAGGGATGAATGTATCAGATCAGCTGCTGAAAAAAGGCATTAGCGCGGTTCTTATAGTGGGAGCGGCTCGTGACAAATACTGGTATTATTCGGCATTTCATATTAAAATTGTGCCACTTCGTATACATGTTCCCTATGCCTATTGGAGTGATTTGATTCGCAGAGCCGGAAGTTCTTTCCCTTAGGATTGAAAATGGCGCCAATTTTTAAAATTGAGGCGAATTTCAGGCAACATTTTTTTTTAGAGCGATTTTTATGTTCAAAATGTCGTTTTTAGGGTTCCCGAAGGTAAAAATAACAAAAATAACATCTAAAATTAATTTCTGTGTGAGGAGCATGCTTCATTTCTCATATCTATGCCGATTTCATGATATCTTTAGCGTCCGACAAGATTCGAAAAATTTTACTCGGGACAAATGTTAGTGTAGATTGCAATAGTTTATTATGTGTTTATTGTGCCGTGGAAGTACATATTTATTTGAAAAACGTAAGTACAATGTATCAGTGGCGGCTCGTGGCCCAAAAATTTGGAGGTTCTGCCCTGGCATATTCGTTTGGGATATGGTGACGAGTGTGACGACCACCGCAGGCGGACATTTTTTCGTTTACCACGGCCACGCCCAAAAAGGTTCATTTTAAATCTTCAAAAAAATATATTGTTTCTATACCCATCAAAAAATATACAACTTTCGTCATATTTTACCAGCCGAAAACGTCATTTTCGTTACTAGTGACAGAATATATCCCATAACGTTAACTTTCGTCACTAGTAAATGATTGGGATTTTACATGTTAAATACATTCTTTCAATACAATTATAATTTAATTCTGTGAAACACAATGAAACACATATGTAGTTCATCACAAAATTATCTAAATTTTGCTTCATATAATGTAATAGAACTATAATAAAAGCAAAATATAGATATGAAATTATTGCTAAACCGAGAACTTTTGATAGATGGCGCCTTGATACATTCACGTTTTAGAGCGCCATCTATCAAACCATGTAGGAACCCTTCTTGTGAGAAAAACAGAAGTTGAACAGCAAAAACCGAAACATGATCATTGAAAAAGTATAGTGTTTTACTCGTCAAAAATAATTTATTTCAACTTGAAAACATTATCAAACTCGGCTTCGCCTCGTTTGGTAAACTATTTTCTTGTTTCAAAAAATGCTGTTTCGTCACTCGTCACTCGTTAAACAATATACTATATTGTAACTGTTTAATAAAAAAACTCTTGATTTGTTCAATCGCTTAATAATTGACAAGTCCTTTTTATCTGGGCTACACAAAAATGTCAAGGATTTTTTTCTAAATTAATAAACAACAATAAAACCATTAAGTTTATATTTTGTTTGTTAATTTTAATAAAATCCCTAGATAAACTAAATAAAGAAACCCGTAAAATTAACTAAAAGAAAAAAAGATCCGATCGTATTTTTTTCAAAAAAAAGATAATTAAAAAAACAACGCAGACAAGAAATATGACCGACAGTTTCAACAGAACCCTTTCCCGCTTGTCCGTCTTTTCGCAAAAACAATAAAATTTCATGAAATACGCGGACATGCGACCCAAGTTGGATTAGGAGCTGGAAATCTTGCAGCACAATTTCCGCCTAAATTTCGCTATCTAAACCCAGGACCAAGTGCGGCACGGGGCGATGGGAAGGGTACACAGGCGAGCACAGAACTCGAAAGTGGCCCAGTTATATTATGTTGTACGCGAAACCCGTATTATTAACTTGCCATGGTTGGCCAACTGTAGCGTTGGGAGGCGCCCGTCTCGCTCAAAGATGAAAAATATTCCAGGCAGCGTGGATCGAAGGCTCACTATACTAACATGCTCGGCCGAAAATATACTGTTTCAATAATTTTAGTCGGTTTTACTTTTGATTGAAAAAATATTAAATTATTAAAAATTAGTCAAGTAATTATGAAAATTTCGGGGGTTCTGCAGCTCTGCAGCCCTTATGCACCAGCCGCCCCTGCAATGTATTAATGTTTATCACGAATAAAATCGCAGTGGGCGTATTGGGCTTTCCTCTTTATGGTTGCTCTTTGATATAACTGAAAATTATTTTCAATTGAGGTTAGGTTGCATTTCTCACGTCCTTGGTGTAGTGCTCCAATTTCAAAGTGTTAAAATTGTTAGACATTATCTCGAGACAATGCTGAAAGGACGAAAAGGCATAAAAGTGGTGTCTATTACTTCTTTGCCAGCGGCTGTGCATGATTTGGATTGGTCCTTATGCTGCCTATGTCAGTCAAGAGATATAGAGGGACTCATCTGCCCAGCCAGCAATCCAAACCCTAAACAGAGAAATTCAGGTTATATATCTCTTGATGAAACTCTGCGGGATCCGAGAGCATTGGGGCATGTTTTAACATCTAAAAGGAGAGTAGACGATCTTGATGGTGGTTCTGGTATCTCGCAGACTCTAACTGAAAACAGTGCAAAGTATCACCAGAACTGTAGATCACAGTACAGAGGGAAAAAATTGTCTCGCCTGAAAAAATCCCTGGCAGAGGCAGCCGCAAATGATACTAATAGGCAAAATTTCACTGGTGAAAATAGTGACACAAATCGTGTCACTTGATCGTTAGTGCCCCTCGCAGCACCGAAATCCAGCAAATGTTTTATGTGCTTGAAAGAGGGAAAATGGAAAGCGTCATAGTGCATGTACTGATAAAGTTATAGAAAAAGTCAGGAATTGTGCCCAAATGTTACAGGATTCTAAACTTTAGCCACCCTTAGTGCCGGCGATATTTTTGTGCAGGAACTTGAATACCATCTGCGCTGTATTCAGGATTTATATAATAAATGTAAAATGACAGACAGTGAACCAGTAACTGGTGTTGCGATGTGTGAAGGCATGGCGTTCGCAGACCTCATAAACTTTATGCAAATGAAACTGAATAGTGAGTCGACTGAGTTTGTTTTTAAAGTTCCAGACCTAGCAATTATGTACAGAAACAGACTAGCTGGACTTCTAGGTGTTCCACGTGAGGAAATAGCCCAGCCCCAGACAAACCGTTTCCGGGAAAAAATATTGGTCGTGTTCCCCAGCACTCAACATGTTGAGTGATTAGTAAGCGGCTTTGTTCCAACAAGTGGAATACACTAGGTAGAACAGTTTTGATTGGCCAAAACCTGATTCTCATCTGTTTTTAACAAAACCGCTGACTAATCACTCAACATGTTGAGTGCTGGGGAACACGACCATTGTCATATTTACCCGAACTTCATGAAATTAGGTCCGGCAGGGAGTACGTTCTGACTAGAAAATCAGCGTACATACACAAAGAGTTTGTGGAAGCGGACCACGACGGCGATGCATTAGCATTCAACAGACTGATGAGAAACCTGAGAAAAGAAATATCGAAAAAGCCAGTTGAATTTGAGGGCCGGTTTGATGAAAGATGTCAGGAGAATAGTGTGCCTCCAACCTTGCTTGCAGTCGTGAAATCTCTTCTGTATGGTAACTGTGAACAATCAGAATTCCAGCCATCAGGCCCAGCCCTCACAATTAGCCAGCTCATTCTATTTAATTTTCAGAAAAAGGATAGAGCTATTACTTCTGATAGAATTTGACACAAAAAAGATTATGAGCCTCCTCTTCCTGTGTACATTGGAATCGTTCTATATGGGGAATTCCGGACGCGAAAATTAATTGACAGGCTGCACTCTCTGGGTATTTCTGTTTCATATGACCGCATTATGGAAATAACCTCAACATTTTGTCATTTAGCTGCCGAAAGAGCCAAAGAAGAAGGAGTTGTCTGTCCAGAAATATTGAGAAACAATATTTTTACTGTGGCTGCAATAAATAATAATAATAAACATCAGAGAGTTCTTTTCATGGCACCGCCCTGTCAGTTTTCCAGTTGCCTAACCTACAGTCTCATGGTGAAAAACAACTTCTGCAAACAATATTTAGTACGGTCCAGAAGTGTGGTAGACGCAGTGCTTCTCTTCCTGATGGCTTCACCGTCGTTCCAGAGTACACACTTGTCCAGAAACAACCTCCTGTGCCCGACTGCCTCTGTGATTCGTCGAGTTTCCTCACCTACCCAGGTAAAATTGTTCAATAAAATAATACAATTTAATGATAATATATTCCAAATTGTTTGTTTTGCCTCCTGTATTCATTTCCAGACAATTCAAATGTTTTGTGGAGGGACGAAGAAAATTGGTTGTCGTACGTTTCTGGCGAATTTCACTCGGAAAGCCCACAATCTGCCGTGTAGAAGACCGTGTATCATGGTCAGCGTTCCATGCAGCGGTCGCCACAGCAAAGTATACGTGCTGTCCTTCCATTGTTTGATAAGTTGTCGTCTTCTGTGTCGATGCTAAGGCATGGAATGAACCTAGTACATCAGCTGACAGTGCACTTAAATGAACAGCAAGTTCCAGTTCTCGTTGCAGATCGACCGCTCTATGCAATTTGTAAACTTATTCAATGGAACTGGCCAGATCTTTACAGTGAGGAAAAATTCGTACTACTTTTTGCATCGTTTCACATTGAACAAAACTTTCTGCGTGTCTTAGGGCAGTTATTGAATGATAGTGGATGGATTAGTATCATTGCAAGTTCAGGTGTAACTACGAAAGGAAGAGCAGAAGCGATTTTAAAGGTAATAATTGATGAACGTGGTGTAATTATGTATGTTTTTTTTATCTTTCAGGTGTCTAATGTGAAAAGGTCGCGATTATTCAATGAAGTGACTGCGGCAGTTTTGTATAGGTTAATGATTGAGAGTCATGATAAATATATCTCTGACGGTGGCGACGGGTCACTTGACGAATGGTTAAAATCAATAAGCTCTCAAAGTCCGACCTTCAAATATTGGTTGACAGTTTTAAACCTTGAGATTCTGTTGCTTACTTTTGTGGGATCACTGAGGGAAAAAGACTATGATGATTTTTTGAGATGCGTCTAAGAAATGGTTGTCTGGTTTTTTGCTTTCGACCATGTGAACTATTCACGGTGGCTGTCCGTCCATATCAAAGATTTGACAGAGCTGGATGTCAAATCTCCCTATATTCATCAGCAATTTTGTTCAGGTATGACAATGACAACATCCTAACAGTTAGTTAATAATAACGTTTATGTCCGATTGACCAATAAAGTGCTATTTATAGAACAGTTTTGCGTCAATAAAGTAGCACTTTATTGTACTAGTAAAATAAAGTGCTACTTTATTGCCTACCTGGACTACCTGACAAGGTAAAACTGGTCCTGACAACCTGCCAAGGTGAAACAGGTCCTGACAACCTGCCAAGGTGAAACAGGTATACCTACGCGAATTTTACGTTTTTCATTAATTTTTTTAAATTTTTAACAAAAATCAGTCGCAATCGTACATAAAATCATGTAGCCGTGTAGAAGACCGTGTATCATGGTCGCTTACATAAACAGGCTTTATTGACTCATTATTTAATAGCCTCGCTTGCATGCTCGCTCGGCCATAAAATTATTCGTACAATAAAGCCTTACTTTCTGTACTTGTTATATAAATAGCTATTATTATATTGATTATGTTAAAACCATATTCTCATAATATAACTTCTTTTTCTAGGAAACTTTGTTGTTCAGAAGTCTGGAAAGCCATTCTCAGCTATAGCTATTGACCAGGCTCATGAACATCATAATGCTGAAATCAAGGCAACCGGTGGTGCGAACGGCCTTTACCAAGATTTGAACACACGGCGCAGAGTAATGCTCTCAGCTCCAGAGATTAGTCGTCTTGTAACTGCATTTGAAAATCTATCTCCTTCCTCTTCCGAAAAACATCATGAGCAGTATTCCTCTTTTCAAATAAAATTTCTGGAGCGCTGTCTTGCTGTGAAAGATGCTTTTCTGAGCGTAGGGAATCCGTTTGAAGAGCATAGCGGTGATCTATTTTGTCTGGATACCAAAATAGTCATGCAAGAGAACTCTGTAAAGGCTCTAAATAGTGCGGAAAGTGCTGGTAGATATGCCTATGAAACATTTGTTCAGGAGCGGCTCAATCTAAAATCCAAAGCATTGTATGAACCTGTTAAAAAAATTGGAACAAAAATCTTTGATATTAAAAGTAGAAAACCAGCAACAAGCGCTCAAGTAAAAATCCTCAAAGATGAAATTCAGCTATTTTCGAGGCTTTTCATTGTAGCCAAGGAGAGACCTTGATAAGTTTTTCCACTATGAAAATCAGGAATGCTCCCCCTCGTTGTCTCTGAATGGAAAACTAAGGCCAGGGAAAAAAGCTGAACTAGCCGAAAAATTAGAAACATTAGTATCATCGGCACCAAGAGCCCGAGAGTCTTTTGATAGCATTATAATTGACGGACCGGCGTTGGTGCAAAATTTTAAGCCACGCATTGGCAAAACTTTTGAGGAATATTTTAGCTTGGACTTGAAAGTAAACATTTCTCGTACTCTTCTAAAAGGGCAGTACGCGTTGACTTAATTTGGGATCTCTACTGGCCCGACAGCTTGAAGAATTCGACGCGTGAAAATCGAGGGTGTGGGCTCCGACGCCAGGTCCAGCCCAAAAGTGAAGTTCCTCGCAACTGGGCAGATTTCCTTCGAAACTCTGAAAACAAAAGTGCACTTTTTGAGTACCTCGCAGATAGCTTTATTTATGATTTTCCAGCAGCAACTGTAGTCACAAACCGGGGTGAAAAAATTATTTCATCTAATGATTCTCTTACCTCATTGGCTGGAATACGAGCTACGCAAGAAGAGGCGGACGGGCGGATCATCCTCCACGCAAAAGACATGAGAGCATGGAGCCCAGAACATACTCGTCCAGTTTTCAGAAACTGACGTTCTGGTCCTATGCATTTCGTTCTTCTTTTCTCTGAAAGAACTCGGACTGCGAGAACTTTGGATAATGTCAGGTTTTAGTGCCAAGCGCCGATACATAGCTACTCATTTGATTGCGTCTACACTTGGAGAAGAAACCTCACAAACCCTACGTGGCTTTCATTGTTACACAGGTTGTGACACAACGTCCTTCTTCGATTCAATTGGTAAGAAGAAAGCATTTATGACCTGGATGAAACGCCCAGACGTGACACCAGCTTTACTTGAACTCTCCAATCCACAAAGAGAAATAACAGAAAAAACAATGAAAACTTTGGAAGAATTCACTGTCATTCTTTATGACCCCAAAACACAGAATAAATCCACTACGAACGTGCGAAAATATTTATTCTGTACAAAAAATAAATTAGTGCAATTCCTCCCTCCAACGCCTTCTGCATTGCAGCAGCATGCACTGCGGGCTGCATAACAAGCAGCTCATGTGTGGGGCCGCTGCTTGTCACCTACTGAATACCCTCCAAATCCCTCAACTTGGGGATGGACACGAGGGAATGTGAGCTGGGCACCAAACTGGACCAAAGAGGCACAAATATGGAAAGAGATCCCAGTTCTTCGAAAATGCGGCTGCAAGTCAACTTGTGAGACTATGAGGTACTCATGCTTGCGAAACAGCCTTCCCTGCACCCTACAATGTTCTAACTGCAAAGAACGGTGCAAAAATCAGAGGCGAGTATATGATATATGCTTATTATGGACATTACTGTCAGCGTTTTATATGTTGTAATTTTGACTAGATATTTTTCTCTAGCTCGATTACAACAGGAGATCTTAGCGATGATGAAGCATTTCCTGGTGATGACTTGTGATGACTTTTGATTTTTTAATACGTTTCAATAATAATCCACAATTTTTAGTTATAAACATATAGTCAACCATCCAAGGACCTTTTTTTTCAGTTATACATGTAAACCCCATACTTTGTGAGTGGCTTGCTTACATCAAGTCCTACAACTTTTCCTCTACGACTTTTCTCGGAAATGGCACGTATGCGCGCAGGCGACTCGCAAACATTTTAGGGGTATCGGACTCCCCCAATTTGCCATTATTTTTGTCGGCCAAGTTGATTTCCGTGATTTAGACATAAAAATCAAACAGTATTCGTTAAATTAGATTTACCTACATGTATCAGGAAACATAGCTACGTCAGATCGACATGTTTGCGAGTCGCCTGCGCGCATACGTGCCATTTCCGAGAAAAGTCGTAGAGGAAAAGTTGTAGGACTTGATGTAAGCAAGCCACTCACAAAGTATGGGGTTTACATGTATAACTGAAAAAAAAGGTCCTTGGATGGTTGACTAATAATTCAATAGATAACTTTCAGTTTTGTACTTATTTTATCTCCACTTCTTTATTCAAAATACATAATAATTCATAAAAAAAGGTCTTTATTGAGTCTTTTTTCATGATCCTCACCCAAAAGAAACCCGGAAACGCGATTTCAACTACGTAAATCGGTGAAAACTTTCGCATCTTGTTAGACGTTAAAGATATCATAAAATTGGCCTAGATATGAGAAATTAAGCATGCTCCTCACACAAAAATTAATTTTGGATATTATTTTTGTCATTTTTACCCTCGGGAACCCCGAAAACGACACATTAAACGTAAGTGCACGTATACATTGACATCGCTCGAGCGGTGAGCGTTGCGCGATGCCGCTGTAGTGATGCCCAAAAATAATTTTAACATTATATTTCAAATGAACAAGTTCACACTGAGGCGGCGTGTCGCGCGGTGTTAACATGTTCATTTGAAATATAACGTTAAAAATTATTTTTGGGCATCGTTACAGCGGCATCGCGCAACGCTCACCGCTCGCGCGGTGTCAATGTGAACGCGCACTTAAGAATCGCTATAAAAAAATATGTTGCCTGAAATTCGCCTCAATTTCAAAAATTGGCGCCATTTTCAATCCCAAGGGATGGAACTTCCGGCTCTGCGACCCAAATCTCTCTAATAGGTCTAGGGAACATGTGTACGAAGTAGCACAATTTTAATACGAAGTGCCGTTTATTTCCACGAGCCGCTCCCACTTTTAACATTGCCGATGAACCAAGAACCAATCGATTTCTGAATACTCTGGCTTCCAAAAATTATCTTATCAAGACAGAAAGAGTAGGTTTTTCCTGTTACATTGAGTACCAAGTAGTCGCTCTTTCCCAAATATGGTTTACTAGTTAACTTAGAAAGAAACAAACGTCTCATAATATTTGACAACAGAAATATCGTTTCTATAACATGTCGCTATATTCATCATAGTTTACCGGCGTTTCTCTCTTAAGAAAGTCAAAGGCCTGTTGAAAGTATAATGTTCATGTAGGTGAGTCATAAAAAATCCACTGCCAATAAAATGTTTTAAGAGAAATGGAAATGTTTTTGTCGGTTACTTAACCGAAAAGCGATGGAAATTGATTGAAGGAGAGATGAGGAAAATTGAAGGATTGAAAAACCCTGGGCGGGATTTGAACCCGCATTGCTCTACCAACCCTGACCATGCTACAGATTTTTTTTGATTTTTGTGAAGCGTTGTTAGAGGAAGTTGCATGGTTCTCCGCTCATTGTCCAAACTTCTCAACCCTTGAGAAGCAGCACGTAAGCCTGATGGAGAAAATCAAATTTAAAAACAGTGGTTGCTAGAAAGCTCATCAACAAACAACGATAAGAATCACGAAAAATTTTGACGTACATTAAATTGGTTTATCTGCTATTGCAGCGCCACCGATTTTTATAATTCCAATAAAGTTTCATCTTACCTTGAAGATATAGCTCTAAATATTCCACCCAATATCATAATATTTCCGACTGATATCGGCAACATGGTGTAATTAATTCCGCTATCCACTCTTTTGTCTGTCATCCGCGATGACTTGGATGAATTCCTATTGACAAAATTTCTCATTCTCGAACCCGACAAAAGACCCATTGAGATTCGTTCGATTGTAAAATTAATTTTCGTGCGGCTACCATTAGAAAAAAAAATAAGAAATAGTTTTTACGGTGCGGTAGTACCCTTATTGTCTTGTGGTTTTTTACGTTTGACGGACTTTTAACTTGAATAATCGTGAGATTTTTTTAAGATGATGTTTCAGAAAACAGGTGTTTATAATAATTGGAAGTGGCGGTTTTAGTTGGTCATTTATTCAATTAAAGTAGCTTTTAGGTGTGAAGCTCACTTAAACCAAACCATATTTTGAAATAATTGCGGTCAGGATTTACCACATTACAAGCATAAAATCAAAAATTACATCTAACAGAAAATCAAACTTCTTGTGACCACACACACGCTACGCTGCTCAGAATCTATTATGTGCCTTAACTGGTAGGTACTGCCGGAACCAAAAAATTCAAAACATCTCCAATCTACAAAGTAATTCAATCAAGGCAGACTATTATTATCGAAAAATGTCTTCATGTAAAATAAGAAACATCATTAGTACCCCGTTTAAAGATTTTTTTGGCTTTTGACTACCGAATTATACAATTATAGTAATTTTCTTCGTTAACGTAATTGTATCGAGATAGAATTTGAAGTACTTTTGGGGGGTCTTATTAAGTAATTATTGAAGTGATTTTGGGTGGTACTTTTTGTTGGGTGTTGGATTAAAATTAATAAACTCGTAATAACAGTAATCATGTAATTATTTAAAGCCTACAGGGGCAAATCCCAATATATATTTTTAATGAGTTATGTAATGTTTACATACAAACAATTTGTCCACTAAGTAAATAAAAACCTTCATATCATCTTATTTGCATAATTAAAGCTATAAGCATAATTAAAATCTAAACGGCCTGAGAACCTACCGAAAAACGACAGGAAAAATAAAAACCATTTTCACGCGTGACCGCGTTTACACCCAACGTTGCGTGCTAAGTGCCCCACATACCGATAGCACTATGGGCTAATTATGGTAATTTACATGGGTATTTACCGTCTAGGTTACTTTTAAGCAATTAGAAATGTCAATTAAGAGGCGGGGCAGCTTTTAGTTTCTATTTGAATTATTATTTGCATGATTTTTTCATCTCATTTTATGAACGCCTTATGAACTATAATTATCTAATTAAAAATAAGTGGGTACTTATTACATTGTATCCTTTTTTCCTAAAGTTTTTTTCAATACTATACATAATAATATATTGTTACATAATTCAACTTCCTATTATTCAACAGAATTGGTTCTTTTACTGAATTCGGATTAAAAGGTAAGTATAATACGCTGCTGATCCTGATCCTTTTGAGGGCTTAGCTTTTTTTCTTTTTTTTTAAATCACATATTTCCAAATAATCTCCAATTTTGTATGTATTCAAATCTTTAGTCATTATTCATTATTCATGATAACTTCATGTTTATCGATAGGACGATTTCATCTTTTAAATTTATCATAACACTTTGAGACATTTCATGCCTCTTCTGTTCTCTCTATACTTAGGTAAGACTTTTTTTGCGGTTATTGTCCTTCTTCTCTGAGGCACAAACCTAAGGTGTTTGGAAAAGTGCGAATCGTACATTGCATTCTCTAATTAGACTTGTGATAGAGATAACAACGATGTACTTTTAAGAAAAATTGTGAAATATTTATCTTTAGATAGGTACCTTCTGTATTGTAACGTAAGCGGGATTGTAGTTAAGTTTACAATCACAATACTTCATTCAGCTACAATCAAGCTTAACTTTGTAGCCACAAAACTAAATCACAACTCACTGTTTACTGTCACTGTTGGCTCGCGTTCCATTAATTATCCGATTTATTTGAATTCGCTGGACTACTGCGTGGTGGAATTCCATTCGCGAATTTTCTAGTCATTAGGTAGTGTTACAAGATTGTGCACAATTTCCCCAGCTTCAGAGATATTTAATGCTAACCTCTTCCTTGAAACTGTTCATCCTGCTAAGTCGGTATATTTTCGCTCCAATATGGGGCCAAGCTTTCCACATCTACAACCTATAGCTTGACTTTCGGATAAAGTTGAATCCTGTACACCAAGTCGTTGATTCTACCGCTGCTCAGATGCAATCTGTTCCAGCCATGTAAACTAGAAGAACAGCTACGTCATCATGGGGTGATACTGATAGTATACCAGACATTAAATCTATGGAACGCTTTTTCAATTGTCTGCCAGACAACAGAATCCATGGTGTATAGCCAGTTGATTCGTGCCCGAAGCATCTTTAAGCCAGGAGGAAAATGGGCACTAGTTTATTATCCCAGGTTCGCTAATACTCATCACAAAATTCCGTCGGATTTCGGATGTAGTGGAATCATTCTCGTTTTCCTTATTCCCAGTTATCTCATCACTTGTTTCCATAAATCGGACTCAGTATGACCGGTATGAGGTGTCATCGATACCCCCGAATCTGGCAAAGATGTTTGCCACAAGTGCTTCAGCACCTTGGATACAATATCATACATATGACAACAATGTATATATAAAGGAAAATATGGCAACATTTTCTATTTAAAATGTCAGTTTTCTTTCACGTCATTCAGTTGTTCTGCTCCTTGCAGTCGTTGCTTTCGGGTCAGAAGCTCATGTCAGAAGAGAACGTGCTAGATCGAAAGCAGCAAGCGATTCGTTCGCAGTTGCAGAAATATTTATTATAAGTTATGCTTATGGGTTTTACCTAAAGCTCAAGGCTCTACTTTCGTAGTATCCTTGAATCGTGTTTGTGAATAGTGTAAAAATTGTAATATAGTGTAAATAGTTGATGTCGTGTGCTTTCCTTCATCCTTCCCACATGGTCCTTCCTAGAAAATAGGTCCAATCACAGCAAGTGGTTTGAAAATTGGAACTTATTCTGG